ATGGGCAGATGAAACACCATAGACAAAGGTTCAGGGCTTGAAACAGCAAAACAAAGTACAGGAAGTCTCACAGCCAAAGACACTTAATGTCTAAGGAAGACATGAATGAAATCCAACATAAAAATTCCGTATAAGGTAGGGGAAATTTTTTTTTTTTTTAAGATTTTATTTATTTTTTTGACAGAGAGAAATCACAAGTAGGCAGAGAGGCAAGCAGAGAGAGAAAGAGGAGGAAGCAGGCTCCGTGCAGAGCAGAGAGCCTGATGCGGGGCTTGAGCTCAGGACCCTGAGATCATGACCTGAGCTAAAGGCAGAGGCTTAACCCACTGAGCCACCCAGGCACCCCAAGGTAGGGGAAATTTTGATGAGAATTTTATATTGGAAAGTGAAAAGAAAAATTATGAATATAATCAATATTGTTATATATTTTTAACAGAAGTTAGGTAATGGCTGTGAGTCTGTCCTAATTTTCAGAATAAACAAAATTAGTTGATTTAGGGCTTGGGAATCTACTTAAAAAAAAATTGTCCAATAGCACATTTGATGACTATGTTGAAGTCCTTCATTTTTCTCAGCTGCCTCCCTTAATCTGTGATCTTCAAATGCTTCTCCCCTTTTGATGATCCTATTACGTCCATTTTTTCATCTTTAATTTTAAACTGGTCTAACCCTGCAAGCCTCTTATTTATCAGTGTTTGCCTGTGATTCTAGCTATTTCTCCAACATCACTTCCATCTGTTTCGTGAGACCCTGAATTAGGGTTATTCCCATTATGATTTTTGTGTCCCAAACTAACCAGAGACATTTGGATAATGATTACCAGCCTAGGACTGCCTAAGTTTCAGCATAGCTGGGGTATTGGGTGTGAGATAGGGAGCAGTGGTACCTTAACATTTATAAGCTGGAGGTATTCAGCAAATAACTGATTTTTAACCTTCAGATTTCTCTTCTACATTGAGGAAGCCAATGCAAAGGTTCAAGAAAAACCACAAAAATGGAAGCATATGCCAGGAAGGTGATGGTCCCTCAGCAAACACTCATGTTTTCCCTCCACATTGGATGGATTGATTGATTTGTGCATGATTGGATTTTTAAAATCTTGTTACTCTGTCAAGTAAGCACAAAACCTGATAGATGAATTTGTATGCTGCAAAGGGACAAAGTAAGGAAACATTTGTCAATTTTTAAGAAGAGAGTTTCACATTGAATATAGGGAGAAAAGCAGAACAAGAATGCAAGATATGACATATGCTGAGGATGATATTGCTGAGACTAAACAGAGCTGGCATCTGTAAGACATGCAAAGATTTTTTTATTCCAGGGCCAAGGGATTCTGGAATCCAGCCCTTCCTGCATGTCATTCATTCTAGAGAAATAAGTTAATTAAACAGTGAAAGAGGAGGATCAACATGACTCGTTGCAGTCTTAAAATTGAATTTATAAATAAAAATAAGAAAACGGAACTCATCCTGGGCTCTTCTGAAGAATTATTGATAAATGTGGGACTCACTGACATCAAATCTGAAATGCAATTTTTCTGTCTATTGTTTTCTAAAATCATGTTTAAATTCATATTTTAATACATTTGTTTTTGCAATGTTTTATTTCCCTCAAGAACAAAAGATTCTTGGAAAAGAATTATATGTGAAAATGAGCTGAGTGGTTTGCAACCATTTACAATGGAAATTTCTGTGCAGTGGTGGTAGACTAGAATGTAACATTTACCTTATCATATAATTCCCATTACTTCAAAGATAGCTCAGAGACTAAATCTCAAGAAGGTTCTGATTTTCTAATGAGAAACTGAAAATCATAATGAGATTTGTTATGAGATTAGAATCATGAAATCATGGACAGAGGAAGGAACAAATTTGAGACTTTAATCTTTGTGTTCTGCGTTCCATCCACATAATAATAGTATCTTAAAAGAAATTTCTTGTAATTTCTGTGAGGTGGTATTTGGAGCTATTTTCCTGTGTGAGTTAATTTCTTGGAAATAAGTCCCAAGGATGAATGATCATGTGTAAAGGAGAGAAAATGCTAATAGGCTGTGTCTCAATCATATACATCCTCCTTGGGAAAATTTTAACCCAGAATTGAGCATGTAAGCATTGAAAGAGTATTTAAAGAAACTATTGATTTGAAAAAAACTGTTTTGGAAGAGCAACACCAGATATTAACAACAGGGCACAGTGAAAATCGAAGCTTCCCAACACAAATGTTGGAAAAGTTCCACTCATCCTGTTATTTGCGATTTCCAATTTCTCCTTAGAAAACCATTCTTTTAGGTTAATTTTATTAGTATATAAATAAACTTTTCTAAATTAATAAGAGCTCAACAATTCAACAGAGGATACGAACATGCAGTTCACAGAGAAGGAAACAAATGGTTTTTAAATAGGAAATACGCTTTAGGTAGGCAATTATTAACTCAAAGAAAAAATAGAACGTTGTTGTAGAAATGCAATCTTCACAAGTTGGCTCAGCAATGGATAATATTTGTATAGAAATAATAATGCAAATGCTGAACTTAAACACCTCTTAAGTAGCTTATTGAACAAGGTGGACTTGGAAGGCTCCTCTGCCATCTTATTTTTTCAGCCCCATGGATGGAATATTAGACGATTTCTATCACTTTTCTAAGTACTTTTAGGTTGTTAATGAATAGTCTCCATTTTTTTTCAGGCTAGCCAAAGTCCAGTGTAATATGATATCAGAACACCAAGCTCTTAGCCAGTTTATACTTCTCCTCTCCACAGCTTGGGCCTGCGCAGCCTTGAAATTTGCATTGGGCAAGAAGTATGGATAGGGTTGCCAAATAGAACACAAAACGCCCAGCTCAATGTGAATTCCAGAAAACAACAAATACTTTTAGGAAAATTGGGTCCCAAATATTGCATAGGATGTACTTATACTAAAAAAAGCATTCATTGTTTATCTAAAAGTCAGATTTAACTGGGCATCCTGTACTTGTATTTGCTAAATCAGGCTACGCTAGGTAGAGGGTTGACATGACTTTATTCTGTCTTGCTCACTCTGCTGTCTCTGGCTCCTCTAGGATTGATATAAATATGGAAGGGGTGGAAAGGTGGGGGAAGAAAAGCTCTTGGCCTGCAGGATTGTCATCCATGATGGGTATCCTCCTCATAATGGCTTAAGTCCAAGGCTGACCCATGGGAGCACCTCCATCCCTGTTTTAGCTAGGAGGTGCCTCCTTTGGCTGACCACTGACAACCCTCCATTTGGCACCTGGCTTCTGGTTGTCTGATCTTTGTTCGAGTCCTTTTTTTATCCTTCCCTATAGTACTATTGGGTGGAAAACTTTGGAAGGCCACCTATTGGCAGCTGTCCTCCACAGAATCCAGCCTGCAGAAGACCACATCCTTGTTCCACTAATCCTCAGATATGCTGGCCAACCTTGACCCTTTGTCATGCTAGGAAGGCTGCTGCAGTCAGGTTCTGGCCTGCAACTTTTTTTCAAGTGTCAGTCACCAAGTATGTGCCTACCCCATCAAACTTCAGGGAACACCTGTCATTCTCAGGATCCTCTCGAAATCCCCTTTACTAAGTTTAGGATGAGTGGGAGGAGTCCTCCCATCCAGCGTTGGGGAAGTGGTGGAAGACAATGCTGCTAACTTTATCCAGAGCAACCTTCAACACGGACCACTTCAACCCCCTACGTAATTCTTTTTTTTTTTTTTTAAGTAATCTCTACATCTAACATGGGGCTTGAACTTATGACCCCAAGTTCAAGAGTTGCAATCTCTACCAACTGAACCAGCCAGGCGCCCCACTCCTTAGTTAATTCTTGAGACTGCAGGGAGTTAGTGGCTAAGACTTGGGCCACCCAACCTGCAAGACTTGCATGGATTGTGTAGAATCTTTATTTAGAATGTGGGGCCTCTTTGTACCTATTGTTCTCATCTTTGGAATCTCAGCTCAGTCTCAGAGACTTAGAAAATCTATTTTAACAATCTATTACATAACTAAAAATGGTTATATCATCAAATTGTGAATTTAACAGGAGGGTATGTGTATGTATGTAGGAATAGGTGTTGTCATAAATTAAGATCCTCATTTATCATAACAGGAAGTCCAAAGAAGAGTCTCACACTGATAAATCAAGAATTAACAGTACAAGCACATTACATAGAAATATGGAGTTAAATACCAGAAGGAAGATCCGAGTGATTAAAAATCTTTTCCTTTGGGGAGTGAGACTGGGGATTTGAAGAAGAGTAAAGAAAGGTACTGTTATTTTTCATTGTAAGCCTTTATGTACTAATTTTTTTTAATAATACTAGGGGCTTGATAATAAATATTTAAACGATAAATTTTGCCAAAAACACATGAAAAAATATGCTGTCATTAAAAAGCATGAGGCAGATCTATACAATAATGACAGCTAACACTTATGTGGTATTTGATGAGTATCAGGCGTAGTTGAAATTCTGGGCATCTGTTAATTCATTTAATCCACGTGCGGTTGTTTGCTGTAACAGTACAACTGGGTGGCTGGACCAACAGCAATTTATTTTCTCACAATTCTGCAGGATCAAAGTCAGAAATCAAAGTGTCAGCAAGGCCTGCTCCCTCTGAAACCTATAGGGCAGGGTCCTTCCTGTTCTCTTCCAGCTTTTGGTGGCCCCAGATGTCCCTTGACTTGTGACAGCATCACTGTCATCTTCACATGGCTTTCTCTGTGTGTGTGTGTCTGTGTCCAAATTTCCCCCTTTATAAGATCATTTTATAATCCCCTTTTAGATGAGGGCCCACCCTCATGACTTCATTTTAACTCGATTACCTCTCAAAATACCCTATTTCCAAATACGGTTGCCATTCTGAGGTACAAAGAATGAGGACTTTGACATATCCTTTTTTGGGGGAGGCACAATTAAAACCCAGTGAGGTAGGTACCATTATTAGTACCATTTTGTAGAGGAGGAAACGGGAACACAGAGTGGTTAGGTAATTTGGTCAAGAACACACAGCTAATTGATGGTGAATTTAATCCCAGGAAGTCTGGCTCCCAAATCCTGTACTCTTAGCCACTAGGCCACACTCTCTATATTAAAGGCACAAAGCAAGCCAAGAGCAGTGTGTAGAGTGTGCTGTCATTTGTGTGAACAAAACAGGATGACTAGGGGTGCCTGGGTGGCTCAGCTGGTTAAGCGTCGGCCTTCAGAGTCATGATCCCAGGGTTCTGGGATCGAGCCCCACATTGGGCTCCCTGCTTAGTAGGGAGTCTGCTTGTCCCTCTCCATTTGTCCTTCTCCCCTCCCCCTCTCCCCACTCATGCCCTGTCCTTTCTCTCAAATAAAATTTTTAAAAATTGGGCTTGTCTATTACATACATGCTTGCATATGCACAGTACACCTTTGGAAGAGTACCCAAGAGACTGATAGAAATATCACATCTGGGAGGAGAATTTGGGACAGGGAACTGAAACTTTTCATATATATATATATATATTTTTTTTATATATATATATTTATATATATATATATTTATATTTAACACTGAAGATTGTTGGAGGTTGTTTGTTTACCATATATAGGAATTAATTTGAAATATTTATTTGTTTTTAAAGTTTTAATTAATTTAGAAGAGTGCAGGTGTGGGGAGGGACAGAAGGTGAGGGAGAGTGAGAGAGAGAGAGAGAGTGAGAGAAAAAAGCAGATTCCCTGCTGAGTGTGGAGCCTGATGCAGGGTTTTATTTGAGAGCAGAGATCACCACCAGAAATCACAGCTTGAGCCAAAATCAAGAGTTGGGTACTCAACCGACTGAGCCACCCAGGTGCCCCTAATTGAAAATATTTAAATTAAAAATGAAACCAAGGATGCCCTTCCATTAATGCCATCCGCTCAGACTACAGAGCTACTTGCGTAATCTTTTATGCATGTGTGTAAGGAATCTGGGAAGAAATGATCTTAGTAAGCACTGGTTCCCAGACAACCTCTTTAAGAAAGACCATTGCTTTAAAGGACTGTTTTGGTGGCTGTAGAACTTTGGATAATGGAATACTGTGTAGCCATTATACTTTATATTTATGTATCATTTTTTGAAATGATAATGAGAAATACACTCATAAAATATTAAGTGAACTTGTAGGGTAGATATTTGTGTCTCTTTAGAAACAAGGCTAAGTAGAAAAAAACAAAACCAAAAGCTAACAAACCAATGCTGAGTAGAAAAAGCTGGAAGGAATAGACCTAAATATTAACCATGGTTGTTTTGGGGGAGGGTGAAAGAACCATGGATGATGTTTATTTTCTTTTTTGCATCTTTTCTGGTTTCCTTTAAGTCTGAAGATAGAATTTAGAGCATTTCATAAAATGTGCTAGGATGGCTTCTGGTGAGCTGGCGTCGTTCCCATATCGACCGACACCGACCGCCCTGAAGAAATCATAATGACAAGATGAGTGTGTCTGCCTCACAGGTTTCTCTCCCTCAAAAGTCAGCCTAGAAATCTATTTCCCAGTGTGGGCACATCCACTCAAATTACCTCTTTCCTAGCTTGACTCCTCAACAAGATTTTTTTAAAAGGGAAGCCAGAGGTATGAGAGTCTTCTGCAGGGCATCAGCCATTACACTTGGAGATCCATTAGGATTAGTCTCTCTCAAGGGGCCACAGGATGTAACTGTCCCACGGGCCCCGCCCCAGCTGACCAACTGTGGAGCTGTCCCTTAAGGCAATAGCGCCATACCACTCAAGCTTTGGTCCACCTAAACTGATGAGAATAGTGTGTCCTTACATGGTACATGGGAGCAGCCCCCATCATAAAATTTACATGGTTTTCTGGAGAGATTCGGACTTCCCTCACTAGCCCATCCCATGTCACTGCACTGCTGAAATAATAGAAGCCATGACAGCTCTGAGCTTAGCTTCACCACCAATGGTACGTGTCTGCCTGGTGGGCTCCATGGTGCCCACTGGTACATGACTCAGATGGCATTACATCATCCTCAGCCGAGAGCCCACCTAATTCTCCTGAGAGAGCTGGGGGGCAGGCTCTCAGGTCCGAGTGGCTGGCCGGCAGGACTGCTGGGCTTGCATTCTAGAAAGGATTTTTGTGGCGTGCTCAAGGATGGCTATGTTAAACGTCAGACTAAAATAAAATCTGCTATGGAGTAAGGCAGGAGTCCTTCAGGGACTGGAAACATTCTGATCTGGAGTCCTCCCATCAGCATTCATCATCCTAATTCCCAGAGGGATGTATAGAACATTGTGAAATCTGAGGGGGCTGCTGACATCTGGGTCATGTGATAGAGCTGAAAGAGTAAAATACAGAAAAAAATATTCTGTGCTTGATCCTGTTTATGCTATGATAACCATAAATCAATATGATCCTAAATATATAAATATATGAAGAGATGTTTGGAGAAAATTCACTTAAATATTATCAGTGGTTGTCTCTGAGTGGTAGAATTTGGTGCTATTTTATTTTATTTTTACTTTTAAAAAGTGTAATCCTCAGTCTTCCAAGAACTTTTTTAAGAAAAACCCATAAGCAGGGGTGGGTGGGTGGTAAAGTTGGTTAAGCTCCTGACTCTTGATTCTGCTCAGGTTGTGATCTCAGGGTTGTGAAATCAAGCCCTGGTTTGGGCTCCTCACTCAGCATGGAGTCTGCTTCAGATTCTCTCTCCCTCTCCCACTGCCCCTCCCTACTGGTGCTCTCTGTCTCTCTCTCTCTCTCTCTCAATAAATAAATAAATATTTTTTTAAAAAAACCCACAAGAATGCATCTTTTTTATTTTTTATTTTTTAAGATTTTATTTATTTATTTGACAGACAGAGATCACAAGTAGGCAGAGAAACAGGCAGAGAGAGAGGGAGAAGCAGGCTCCCTGCTGAGCAGAGAGCCCCGTGTGGGGCTCGATCCCAGGACTCTGGGATCATGACTTGAGCCGAAGGCAGAGGCTGTAACCCACTGAACCACCCAGGTGCCCCGCATGCATCTTTTTTATAGGCTAAAAACAGACACATTATTTTTCTAGAGAACAATGACACGCATCTCTTTTGACATGTGTATAACCTTAGGTAGGTTAGCTAACCTCCCTCTGCTTCAGTTTCCTCCACTATAAAATGGAAATGATAAGTTTCTACTTCGTGAGACTGTGAGGATGAAATGTGTTAATATATATAAAGTACCTAGAAAAGTGCTGAGAACACAGGCACTCAATGCTCTTATTATTTTGGTGGTGATGGTGGTTGGCGTTAGTTTTATTATTATGACCCCACATTACACAACGATATCCGCAGGACAGGAATTACCTAGAACAGAAAAGCCATGTTTTTCTTGCAAGGCCGTGAGACGGATCAGTGATGGTAGAAAAGAAAAACGTAAGTACATGGATAGGTTTCCATGGAGAGCCAAGTGGCCTGATATATTCATATAACTGATTAGTTTGCTAATAAAACTACATGTCAGGGGGTTAAAAAAAAAAAAAAAAGCTTTAGTCAGGCAAGTTTCTAAGCATAACTTTCCAGGAAAAATAGAGTGATTTTCAGATTGATGAATTTCAAAGAAATGGATGAAGGTCATAAGGAGACAAAAGCTTGTATGTGAATGCCTTTGCAACACACTGTTTCATCAACACAGACCCATAAGAATTGGGGAGGGATGGCGGGCCACGGCTGCGTATATTAACTCCTTGGGTCTTTATTTGCAGTGGGGGGGGGGTCTCTGCCAGGTATGCATATGTTGTGAAAGGCCCAACGAGCTGATGGTATGTTAATGTGCACAGTTCAGGGCACGAGTTGAGCCCCTGGTACCTAACCCTAAAATACTTTGAAGCTCTCCCTCATTCAGATGCCTCTGGCTCCAGGTTTCTGGGGTGAGGGCACCTAGACTTGCATCCCTGGTCCAGGTTCTTTTATCTTATGACAGCTGCTGGAGAACGTCGCAGCCAAGGTATGCCATCATTCAAGCTGATGTGAACCAGAGACCCAGGTGAAGAAACCAGCGTGTGTCTGTCTCCCTGCCAATGATAAACTCCTGAACAAAGCCACCTGCCCATTAAGGATGGACAACAAAGATCCATTATCATTCCACTTAGAGGAATTCTGTGCTGAAAATTCCAAAGTAAATGTAAGCACTTTTCACGAGCTGTGTCGTGGCTGAAAAGAGGAATTACTGTCAGCAGCGTAAATAGATAATGTTTATGAACCCAGCCCCCAGGTGGGCTTCTGGCGGATGAATTGCTTTGTCACCCCGTGTCACCCCATGACAAAAGTAAGATATCCGAACCTCTAGTGAAAAACAGACAAAGGCAGACTCTTTATGGAGAGGAATAAAAAAATTTTTTCATGTATGTAGGTCAGTTCTTATAAAGATTACGAATATTTTAAAGTAATATTTATCTTACTGACCTACATGCCATAGGTTCAAAGTTAACTTATTTTGTTTCCTTACACCCTACTGAGGGTGGAAGGGATAACTTAGAAAATTATTTAGAGCCTGGTCTAATGTAGACCAGGGGGAAAAGCCTCAAGCCTCCACTCCCATAGAGATACAGAAATTGTTTTGACCTTGAAGGGCTTTTGGGAAGTTATACCAATGACCATCTGGGTCAATAAAAGAAAAATCTTTATTGATCTAAGCCACACAACTTCTTGGGGTGGTTTCCAAGACAAACAAGTTGCAAAATATTTGTTTGTCAGTATTTGTCGGCTACACAGCTGAATCCCAAGAGTCTGGACCAAGATGGTCCTCTGAGAGCTGAACTATAAAATCAAATCACAGCAGATTGAAGTGGAAATCCTCTCGGAAAGAGAATGCTACCCAGGTGGGGATTGGTGTGGAGGGAAATACAAGCATTGCCCAACCATGGGGCGCTGTGTAGGGAACTAAGAAATCTTAGTCAACAGCTTTTGAATCTTGGCTTTTTTTGTTTTGGGGTTTTGTTTTGTTTTGTTTTGTTTTGTTTTTGCTGGAAAGGCCATTCCCCAGGTAGGGGTAGAAGCCAGAGATTGTCACCAGGTGGCCACAAATGTTTGGATTCCTAGATAAGAGCCTTCCTAAAGCGAGGAGGGTGGATCCTGCTGGGTGTGCCCGATACCATTAACATTCAATTAATCCCACTTCTGCTGTTCTCTTCCCCGGTTTATGAGCGGGGTCTTGATTATTCTGGCTTCCCATGTCCGTGGCCCTACAGAGGAATTTTGTATGGAGAACATGGGCACTACGTATTCCCATCATAATGATTATCTTCGATATGGTCAATGAATTTAATTGTAACTCAGTTTAAGATTTGGCTTCCCGTACAACTTGACTACAGATAGAAAATGGGCTGCTCATGCCCACTTAGGTATTCTAGTCTGTGGCCTCCATTATGTTTTGATTTTATAGGCCTGAGTCTCAGTGGGCACACCTTTTTTCCTGGTTCTTAGAGAATACCCTCTTTGTAGCCTCAAAACATTGATGAAAGCAGGTATGGAACACACCTTTCCGTACATCAGTGCATTGGTGTTTGGGTTTTATATCTAATCTCATATGTCTGGTGAAGGTGAGCATAACAAAACTAGGTTTCTAAGCCCATAAGACCAAGGACCACCCAGCAGACCATAGAAAATTACAAAAGGTAACAGGTGTCACCTGAGGCCTCCTGAGAATCAGTCTGACCACCTTCCCTGGAAAAGCACACTGTCTTAATTCTAAGTGGGCAGGTCATGTCCCCCTTCCTTTTCTACATAAATCTCGGATCATAGTTGAGCTTACTGGTCTTATGGGATTATTTGAGACAAACTAGTAAAAAGTTGAGGAATAGCTATTCAAAACAAAACGGTGAATTTGGCTTTTGAATCAACTGACCCGAAGTTCTTCTTTTTGTCAATAATTAGCCATTAGGACCAGACACCTGTTAAGACCACCCTTAGATCATGATAAATCCATATGAATAGTCTGCATAAAAGAGAACGTTTCTGTTTCTATTCTCCGTAGCAGGAAGTTAGGCATCCAGCTGACCCAAAAGTAGTAAAAATATTATTGTGATCTAGATTAAGTCTAAGGCCAAAGGAGGGGAGGCCAAAACAAATCCAGTTTTATCCCATTAGTGATTATTAACTGATCTATCAAGAGACCCTTCCTATTCTGACTCTCAAGGTGGTTTATAATGTAGGTTCTTATGAGCACCACTTGTCAGGGGTCATGCAGCTTAGCCTGGATCCATTTGAAGTCCATGAAGTCCCAGCCCAAGGAAAAGCCTGCTAGGAACCACCATTGTTATGGACAGATTTCTTTTCAAGGTAGCAAAGAATGTACTAGTGGCCTATAGTGGAACAATCATACCTAGAACCCCTGGCTCGTATTAAGGATTGGCCTGCAAACCCAGACTCATGTTTTATAACATAAAAACTGGCTATCTTTTGCCTGGAACATCTATTAAGTTGATAGACATATAATCAGGCAAAGAAAAGAGTTTTCCACCTTTTTTCAAAGACACTTTTTGTTTTGAGACAGCTATAGATTCATATGCAAAGGTAAGAAAATAATAAATAACTAGAGAGATTGTGTGTCCCTTTCCTCAGTTTCTCCCGGTGAT